TGATCTAATCCTCCTTCCATATGTCGAACAACGAAAAATTCAGCTGACAATAGGATATTGAAAAGTCGGCCCCCGATCGAGGCTCTTCTCTTTTGCTCTATAAATCATTGTACTTTGCCTCCTTAATCTGGATTAACTCAGATCGAGTTAGTCGGAGCTTGGAAGATCACCCACCTTCGATCAGTTGTTTTAACACTGTTGCTCGCTGAAGATACTTTAGAGTTGGGCAAACCACTGCTGCGTCGCTTCAATGTACACGAGTTAGCTCTCTCGCGTTTTCTGCCGATATCAAAACTCGCTGACACCTGGTTCTTCTCGTAATTGAAGTACGTTGATATGCATCTGTGTATTTTGCAGGGGCACTGAAGCAAGTTCTAGACAAATGTGTCGTCGGGACCTCCGTAAGGGAAATATGTGAGTTTGGCGACAAAACGCTCACGGAAGAAACTAGCAAGGTCTTCAAAAAGGAGAAGGATCTTAAAAAGGGCATCGCTTTTCCAACGTGCATATCAGTTAACAATTGCATTTGTCATTTCTCTCCTATCGCCAGTGAACCTGATCTCATTATCAAAGATGAAGACATTGTTAAAGTGTAAGTTTCTCCGTGGAAGTTGCTCTATGACCTTTTCGCAAGATTTACTTTCACTGTTTTACGTGTCGAGTAATAATGCCACACCTACGATGAGTTCTTCTGGGAAACTAATGTTACGTTAACGTTAATTTCAAATATTTTGCAAATTTGATAAACACTTTAATAAAGATTTAATATTTCAAATAATACGCACGCACAATGATACTAATTCAAATAAATCGGATATTTCACTCGTCGATTACAATTTTGGCAATTAACGGAATTGTATAATTACAGTGATCTTGGAGCACGTGTCGATGGTTTCATAGCTGTAGTAGCACACACCATCATCATAGGATCTTCATCGGAGAAGAAAGTGACAGGCAGGAAAGGGGATGTAGTTTTAGCTGCACACTACGCTTCTCAAGCTGCACTAAGGCTTTTAAAACCAGGTACAGAGGTAAGATCAAAAACACTTTTGCGCACCTATTTCCACCCCTTTTCCTAAGTTGTAAAAGTAAAATTTTGCAATTCCATCCTGACGCTTAACTGTGCATTTCAGACTTACACGATAACTGGCACCGTAGAGAAGATCTGTGACGCCTATAAATGTAAACCGATCGAAGGTATGCTAAGTCACCAGTTAAAACAGTTTAAGATCGATGGGGAGAAAACGATAATCCAGAATCCGAACGATGCGCAAAAGAAGGAGCATGAAAAATACACCCTCGAAACTCACGAGGTACATTTAAATTGGTATCACATAGGGTGCGTACGGGAGCTCACTATCAGTGCTACTTAGCACTGAAAGATATAGAATTTGAAGAAATTACTGCGGAATGGTTTCGATTTGCAAAACAAAGGGCTTCGAGAAAAAATAAGGAGAACTCGCAAACTAAGGAGAAGTTGCAAAATAAGGAGAACTCAGGAAATCAAAAGAAGTGATGCACTTCTTTTACATTTGTTTGCAACTATAATTTATGAAAATATCTTTTGGTGGAATTTTTTTTAGAAATGTAATACAATTTGTTTTTTTATGTATTCTTCAAGAGCACAGTTTATTTTTCAAAACAGTAAACTATTAAAAATTTACTTTGAGTTTATATAGTTTAAACTGTATAATAATATAATTATTATAAAGATATACATACTATATGTTTACGCGAGCGTTACTTCCGTAGTAACTTACGATAATTCTATCCGCGTAAACAGTCTCTAGCCGAGACTCCCGAATTACCGAGTTACGATAATTTGAGTAAGTTACTACAGAAGTAACGCTCACGTAAACATAGTAATAGAGACATTATATATTAAAGTGGTATGAGTGATTTGATTAAGGGGATCCTAAACTGATTGAATTACAATGTCACAACCAAATTGGTTATGACATTGTAATTCAACAGAATTGCAATAGCGAAATATGCAATTAAAGTACGCACAAAAGGAAAGTCCGGGGCGAGCGTTAATTCCAAAAAGTCAGTATTGTTCATATAATCCGAAGACCGAGACACTCTCAAGCTCTCATTTTGTACATATAAACTGTAGAACTGTTATATTAAGCATATATGGTTATGTCAGGTGACATAACCTATAAGCTGGAAAAATGTAATATTTAATTTTTTGTCATTTTCATGATGAAATCGGCGGAAAATTAAAAACTGCATTTTTTCAGCTCGTAGGTTATGTCACCTGACATAACCTTGTTTGCTTAATATAAAAGTTGTACACTCTACATGTACAAAATGAGAGCGTCCCGGTCTTCGGATTACATGAACTGGAATTAAAAGCCTAGAAAAGTTATTGCGAAGACTACTTTTTGCATCGTGTTCAGCCGTCAGTTAAATTTATGATCCCCTCAGGTCACTTTTTTAACATATGTTAATTTTCGAAAATATATTAATATATTTTATCTATCACATGCTAGTTCCTACAATAATACATGTATTACTTAATTGTTTGTGAAGAAATAAAATAATTTTTTAAAAAGTGTAAAAGGTTTTATTTGCATCATTACAATGCCAATACGTATTTATAGATATAAATCATAACCTTACTACTTTTTTTAAGATATATGCAATGTAGCATTATTAAAATAGAGAATATAATAGATATATATTAGTTATATATATGTTACCCTACTGAAATATCAATACACGTAATTATTTTCGTAACTGTTATAAAACTGATAATATAACATATATGTAACATTCATAAAGTATAAAGTCATACATGTAACATGTATGTACCATTACTTGTACTTTTGAATGAGGAGGAAATTTTAATATAACGACAACGTAAAAATTACCTTCACGTTATATAAAACGTGATTTTGAAATTCATAGATGTTACATATTAGTTATATAACTGTGTCGACTGGGTAGCTTCACGAACAGCTTTGGTAGCGTTTGCGTTGGTAGTGTGACAGCGAGCTCCCTGAACACACCCTGAATGGGGCGAGAATCGGTAAAAGGTTTAGTTTACACATATACAGGGTGTGTCCTAATACCCGTATGTCCTGTAGATGGCAGATAGACCGGGGCAAACTGAATAGAAAAGTCCTATACTATTTTGC